CCAGGACGCAGTAAAACACGGGCGGCAAAACGGCTGTGGCGCTCCTGATCTATGTGTGATCAGGGCGCTGTAAAACACGGTGGTGGGTGGGGGAGGTTGGGGGGGGGGGGATAAACGCGCTAATTTATGTGTGATGCACTGGTACTGGAAATTTTTTCAAAATCCTTAAGTCCTGGGCAAACTAGGAAACATTGTTGTGGAAACATTTGTGATTCTCGATGTTTCCTCAAATGTTTCCACACTTGCCCACCCGTGGAAACATTGTTGCGGAAAAAAAATTTGCTTCCCGGGAAGCAAAAATGTTTCCTACCAAATTCAGAAACATTTGATGTTTCCCAATGTTTCTCACTAATGTTTCCTAGTGTTTGCCCACTCTGGGAAACATGGCGAAACATTGGCAGGAAACAATGTTTCCGCAACAATGTTTCCTAGTTTGCCTTGGGCTTTACTATGGAAATAGTATGGAAATCCAATTTTAATACTAATCGCAATTCCCATACTATGGATAAAGTATGGATATACTATGGATTTAGTGGTTGCATGAAACAATTGAAGGTAAAATTAACATCGCATCATAAATGGATCAGCGCGTTTTCCCGCTTGTGTTTTACTGTACGCATATTACTCGCCTCTCGTGGTTCTACACTGACTTTCACCACGCTTTGACATCACTGTATGGATATGTTTGTATTAATATTTATCGATATATGGACCTAATTATTCATACATCGCAATCGGGGCCTCGTATCCTAGGAAACGGGGATAAACGCGGGAAAATTGACAAAATGTTTTTTCTGTCGGCTATGGACAGCTTGTCGGCGATAGAGCACATTTTGAAGATATCTATTCACCTGATTTTTTGAAGTGTTAAGTTTATTTATATTTAAATTCGATAATTTTTGAAGGTGATCAACTCCCCCCTACAGCCCCTCCCCCTCCCCCTTCTATAGCACAGCCCCTGAAGTCACCTTATCTTCTGAGCAGTTCAGAAACTTATAACTGACAGAACTTCATGAAAGCATAAACGTGTAAATACCTGAAGACTTAATGGACCTTTTTCCCCTTATAACAAAAATTTTGATCTAGACAAGTCTAGACAAAAATGCCATCACAGCTTGAAAGAGCATCACAAAATTAGTAATATTCCAAAGTTTCGTTGCGAAATGTTGCAAAATGCGGAATTTGCAATTTCAAAAAAGCCCTGCGAATTTGCAAATTTCAGTCATTTTGTATTACAAACGGGAAATTGATGCCCCAACACCCGATTGGGCTGTCAATTTCCCGTGCATAATACAAAATGACTGAAAAACGGCAAATTTCGCAAGGCTATATTATCAGCATTTTACAACATTTCGCAACGAAACTTTGGAATATTACTAATTTTGTGATGCTCTTTCAAGCTGTGATGAAATTTTTGTCTACTAGACTTGTCTAGATAAAAAATTTAGCTATAAGGGGAAAGGTCCATTGAGACGAAGTGGTCATGATGCAACGCATGTATAGTCTTGTGTTCTTTGCGATGGTCTCTTTGACGTTGCTCTAAAAATATTTTGGTAAAATAGATTTGTATGTATGTATGTATTTAATTTCTTTAGAGACGCTATCCTCATCAGCTATACCGCTGGTTTTCATGAGGGGCGTCTATTTAGCTATTTACAAGTATATCAGTAAAAATGAAGAAAAAACTAATTAACCCACAGACCCAAAAAGAATATTACCCAGTTACCCAGAACATAATGTGTAGTTACAAATGGAATAACAATTAAGAACAAGATTCAAATAAGTCTTTTGAAACAATAAATCGAATGAGCAGACTTCAGAAAAGTGACTATTCCGCCTCAGCAGAAAGACTATTCCACAGTACAGCTCCACTATACCTATACCACTATAAGCCTATACCACTATAAGCTTCTTTTAAGAAATTCTTTCTTAGGTTTTGGAAGTGAGAGATCTGTATCATAATTTCTGAGATGATAGTCATTATCATTATTGCTTCGTGCAGAAAAGAATTCTCGAAGGGGGCAGTACCATTATTAAGAATGTTGTA